CTTCACCTGTGCCCTCACACAAGAAGACACGATGTCAATCCTGCACAACATTAATAAAGAGTCATTGCCATCTGATCACACTCCTGAGCAACTTGCAAACTGCAAACATGATTAACGAATTTTTTGTAACGCCTATGAAAGCATTTAATCCACTACTCCACCACTTACACCTTGATAACGAGGATGATAATTTCCCGAGTCTGTTGCCCGCGTCACCGAGTTTTCTGTTTTTAAGATGTTGTCAATTCTTAATGCAAGGAAAGCAACTGGCCCAGACGGCATTCCCACCTGGGTCTTAAAAGAGAACGCTGACATATTGGCTTCTCCTGTGGCGGATATCATAAACAGCTCTTATAAAGAAGCTCATTTGCCAGAATCATGGGAAAAAGTAGACATTATACACCGATTCCAAAGTAGAAACCTGTCCGAGATGTAATTAAACACCTGAGGCCCATTTCACTTGCTGCGATCGTATCAAAAGTAGCTCAAAATTATTTTAAACCAGCTGGAGTTAGGAAAATAGACTTTAATCAGTATGGGGCAATCCCAAACTCAAGTACAATTATAGCTCTACTCAGGTATGGTTGAATCATATTCACCACGGTAAAACATCATGAGCTGGATTAAACAGATTGTCCCAATATCTAACTTTACCTGAAACGCACACCTGTTTCATTGCTGTTAATTTTTCAATCCATCTTGGCGGGGGGGGGGGTGGGGGGTCAGAAAAGTTTCTACTTTTATGAGGGGGAGGGGGGGCACAAAAAGTTTGCTTCCAGTCCTTATTTTCCCCATTTACCATCCCCCCCTCCCCATAAATAATGACCACTCCCTAAAACTGGTAATAGGGCTATTCTGTTTCTTCTATACTTCCAAATGTTTTACGCTTATATAGGCTATATGCAGAAGGCTGAAAGCTAAGTTCAACGGAACCTCCACGGGCAAATAACTTTTCTAATTTCGTAGACTGTCAGTAGGCGTATAATGTAGTAAACCAGGTCACCATTAATAGATTGTATAATTTACCTTGGTTGCCATGCTTCTTATACCAACAAGAGTATGACATGTATTATGGACATTTTAATTTTGAGAACGGCTATATCTTGGTTGTATTGTTTATTGCCACACTATTTAAATATTGTATCAAAATACAATTCCAGCTAATGATGGCGGTAAAGTACAATAATTGTGAGTTTATCGGTCAAAATACGACTGAATATCGATCCGCTCGACATTATCTGGGGTGTGTGGGTGAATAATAACGTCGATTCGACGTTATTTGTTGCGGCAACATGAATAACTGCCAATAGGCTGTAACGCCTGCACTTAATGTTTAAGAATAATTCGCCGAAGGCGAAGTAATTAACGGTGAATATTCACCGAGACGAAGTCGAGGTGAATATTCACCGTAATCACTGAGACTGAGGCGAATAATTGTTTTAGTATAAATTTTTAATGAATAAAACAAAATATCCAAATATCAGTTCAATTAAAATTCAGAAATAAAACAGTTTTCGGCCGGTTTTACGGCTACAGTTTTAGTGTTGCGGTGTTTCCTTTACACGCACACTTTCAAAAAATGGCTTCCTGTGTGACTTTGTTGCTTTATTACAAAGTTGTTTTTCTCGATTTCTGCTTAGAATATAAACACAATGATGGGATGAATTTTTCACCAGACTAAAAAATTTTCCGTTTAGTATTAATTTGTTCAGCATAAGGTTGAGAAAATTGGTTAAGTGGAATGTAAAACAATTGCTCGAATGCCTCGAAATAAAGTTTTAATTAATACACTTTTCACTTTACAAAGTAACGTTTCGAAAACACAATACAGCGTCCGGACACCATACAGCACAATGAAAACATAACATATCAAAAGAAATAGTATCGTACAAATAGACCTTTCCCCTTATGAGTGAAATTTTGATCTAGATCTGCCTGGGCAAAAATTTCATTACAGCTTGAAAGAGAATCACAAAATTAGTAATATTCCGAAGTTTCGTTGCGAAATATTGTAAAATGCGGATAATATAGCCGTGCGAAGTTTGCGGTTTTTCAGCATTTTGCATTACAAATGAGAAATTGGATAATCATATGATCAAACTGATTATCAATTTCCCGTTTATAATACAAAATGACTGAAAAACGGCAAACTTCGCAAGGCTATATTATCCGCAATTTACAACATTTCGCAACGAAACTTCGGAATATTACTAATTTTGTGATGCTCTTTCAAGCTGTGATGAAATTTTTGTCCAGACTTGTCTAGATCAAATTTCACTCAGAAGGGGAAAGGTCTATTGAGATACCTATAGGATACAAAACAAAATCATGGTTTTAAAAGAATATCACGGCAAGGTTTTGCCCAACAGTCAGGATAGTTTTTGCTATTTGTTTGAAGTAAATGTTTCGGAGTTTTAAATAAGTTTTAAATATGTTTGACACAGTAAAATAATAAAGGAATCCTACCTTTCAAGTTAAATACAACATTCTATCTTGTCATCAGCCTACGTCACTACGGAGTTACATGAGATGCGCATGCGTGCATCGCCAATCAGTGCTAGCGTCTTTGCCAATTAACAAGTCAACAAGGTAAAATATTTTTCTACTTTAAATCCATCGTAATCCTCTAAATATTTTCACATTTCAGCCCTATCCTTATCGGGAATGGTAAGTTTTTTACTTTATTAATATAGTTTGATGGTTTTAGGCAAGTTTATTATTAAGTTTCGAAGAATAAAAATATGGAAATTTTTATAAGTAATAGCATGGCATTCAGGGCGATTAGTAATTAAATGTACCCTCGAGGCGCGTAGCGCCGAGGGACTTTTACTAAACCTCTCGAGGCTTGAGGGACATTTCATCACTAATCGACCGTAATGCCATGCTATTACTTATAAATATTTCCATATTTTTATTCTTCGAAACTTAATAATTTTACATTAGTTCTAATTTTGCCCGTGGTTAAATTAGTTCTAATTTTACTCCATGTTTTAGTAATGAGGTAAATTAGTGATTAATCGTACCTCGCGAGACAAAGGATTTCGAGGCAACTATGGTATTACAACGTTTAATGACGGCGTTGACGAACATGCCGCTGGGTCACCGACCCGTGAAACACAAGACACTCAAACTCGAAATGAGGATATTAAAACTGATATTCTATTGAATATTCAGGAAAATATGGGACAAGTAGCGACTTTACTGTCCACTCTTCTGTGTAAAACTATACCTTCGGCCACGTGGCATGGGAATGGTGTATTGCCAGAAATATCTGGCTAAGTGCTGCTTATTTGCCCGGAAGAGCAATATAACAGCAGATAGAGAATCACGAGAAAATAACCATTCTTTAAAATGGATGATAAACAAACAAATGCTACAAGATTCACTACATCAACTGAGATTTCAACCTGACATCGATTTGTTTGCTTCTCGTGTGAATAACCAGTTTACTAGCTATGCAGCTTACAGACCTGACCCAAATGCAATAGCTGTCGATGCATTTACAATGCAATGGACGGATTTAAAATTTTATGCTTTCCCCCCTTTTAGTGTTGTATCAAAAGTGTTAAGCAAAATATGTCAGGAGAAAGCAGAAGGCATTTTAGTTTTACCAAATTGGCCCACACAAAGCTGGTTTGCCAAGGCAATGCAAATGCTGGTGCAACCGCCAGTTCATTTGAAACAGCGAAGGAACCTGCTTATTCTACCACCTAAACAGATGGATCTGCATCCACTACATGCCAAGTTATCACTCATAGTGTGCCATTTATCAGCAAGCATTAAGTAAACATAATCTTTTGAATGCAGCTCCACACATCCTGATCTCCTCATGGAGAACGGGAACACTTAAAACAGTACCAAACACATTTTACAAAGTGGAAACAGTATTGTCTGGATAATCATATTGATCCATTCAATCCTTCAGTTGAACATGCCATTGAATTTTTTATGAAATTATTTGATTCGGGATTAGGCTACAGTTCTATCAATACAGCTCATCTGCCTTATCATCTATTCTTCCAGTATAAGAGGGATTATTTAAGATCATCCCCTGGTTTCTCGTTTTCTCATCGGAATATTCGAATTAAAACCTGCGCTACTGAGATATACCGAGGTCTGGAATGTTGATGTTGTTTTAGATTACTTGAGATCATACATACCTGCAGAAGAATTGTCATTAAAAGAGCTTACTCTGAAACTTACTATGCTTCTATGTTTACTTACTGCACAAAGATGTCAGACAATTCACTTGATGGATATTAATGATATACAAGAGATGAAGGACAGTACCAAATTGTTTTTAATAGCAAACTCAAGCAGACAAAGCCTGGACACTATTTGGAGCCTATGGAACTTTTAGCATTTCCATCGGACAGGAAACTATTTGTTGTAGAACATCTTCTTATTTACTGAAGACCAAAGTTATCAGAGGTGTTAACTCTCAATTGTTATTAAGTTTTGTTAAGCCCAACGCACCAGTTTCGAAAGACACTATAGCCAGATGGATTAAAACGGTTCTTCAACTACCTGGGATTGATGTATCTAAGTATACCGCACATAGCAGCCGGGCGGCGTCAACCTCACATGCAAAGGCTAAAGGACTTACAGTGCAAGAGATAATGAAATGTGCTGGCTGGTCTTTGTCATGTTTTGATATATCTCGTCCGAGCAGGACTTTGAAATCTCATGTGACTCCGCCGTGACGTAGGCTGATTACAAGATAGAATTGAAAATTAAACGAGACTTACCTGTAAATTGAAGTTTGATTGTAATTCTGTCTTGTTATCAGCCAGGAACGAAGGAGTCACATGCCCATATAATCCCTCCCTTCCCAGCATTTACTCCTTCGTTCCATAACTTTCCTGCTCGTCCTTGCTTTGAAAGACTGATTGGCGATGCACGCATGCGCATCTCATGTGACTCCTTCGTTCCTGGCTGATCTAGTCAGGTGGTAAATAATGCGTTAGATTTACTAGTCAACTGGCCAATCGGAACGCGCGAAAGCTCATTTGATATACAAAATTTATACTAAAGGTAATTATAACGCAAAAAGATTTGGCGTAACGTCAAACTCCGCAGATATATTTTTGCTCGTGTGTTCGCACTGACAAGCTAATACGTTGCTTGACCGTGGTGGGATCGAGCTTATCTTTGGTTTCTAGTAACACCGCTAACATATTTACACCAAAATTAAACACTACAAACCACTCCGGCAGTTATTGTTTGCTTTTATCGTTTCAGTTATTCCCAAAGAACTATGTTAGTCTTGTTCCACCCGAATCAGAAAGGCTACATGTCATCAAAGATATATTGGGTCATATGTCATGCGAAGAGCCTGTCAATATACCTGCAACATGCTTACAGTCTGAAACATCTATCGACAGTAACCTTAGATCACAACTCCGTAATGCAAAAGAACTCAATTTTTGTATTGTTGTACATTGCACCGAAAAACTTCACAGAATATTTTTGTTGGCAAAAGAATATGATCTACTGGGCCCACGATATCGTTGGTTTTTGACTTCGTTTATGGAAATTAACTGGACCTTAAAAGAATTGCCGGAAAATTTGATTTCCATTGAACTGAATCATAATAATGGGGTCGCAAAACTGCAACATGGCGGGTGTGGGCATCCGAGTTATTTAAACGATGCATTTATGCTAGTCACAAGTTTGGAAAGTGAATTAAGGACTGATTTCGCTAGACTCCCAACAAGAAGGTAAATATTAACTAGAAGTAGGCCTATATTACTGTAAACCCTTCGCCCGACAGTAACTGACCAACTTTTGTAGCGGGTCCTGAAGGAGAATGGGAGGGGAGGGGACGGGAGGCCAGGAGAGGGGAGAGATATGGGCACTGATATACACTAAGACTGGATAGAGCATCGTAATAGAAGGCCCAATCAAAAATTGAAGCCGAAATTACGTCATGTTTTGAGACCGGGCGCCATGTTGAATGGCCCCACTTGAGGAGTGAAAGACTATAGATTACATTGTAAAACTGACATTTTTCGGAGTTTTCGCCTTATACTCGCTAAGGGACCGGTCATAAAGTAACTGCTAGGGTGGGCCGGGGTGATTTGGGATGGGCCATGGAAAGTCTTGTGGCAGTTTCGATGGGCCGCCAATTATTTTGTATGTCCACGGTTGGGCCACCAAACAAAAATCCATATCTACTTTCATCACTTATGATAAATATAATAACAAATACAACATAATACAAATCAAACATAATACAAATCTAACAGGGCAGGGCTGTACACTGCACAGAGGACAGCAGGGGCAACTGACCCCCCCCCCCGCCGAGAAAATTTAACTAATTTTATAATGTGATTATGCTTGTAACGGATAAATTATGCTGTCAGGAAATGAAAATTTCATGCAAACAGTATTCGAAGTGTCTATACAGCCGGCTATTTAGTAAACTGTCACTTGTCAATCCATACTCATCAAATTTTCAAAACTTTATTGTAATCATATGAAGCAAAAGTTCTGTCACTTGTTGTTTACACTTGCCAATGTTAACTGTTCAGTAACATACACAAACTAATCGAGGAAAAGAGTCAATCATATATTGAAGACCACTGAATAGTAGATGTTTCGAAGGTCATGAGTGAAGTATATAATTCAATTCCAATCCCGTGCACAGTTATATAATGACATACCACACTGTTCGGTTTAACTCAGCATATCCACACAAAAACAATTTGTGTTGTTGTGTGCCATTGATCCATCCATATAATATATGATTATTGTAGCTGTTAAGTTATTTTCCATGCTAATGAATTTAGGTAAGATTGTCTTGCAAGTGGGTTGTTCTGACAAAATTATCCAGCCAATATCCAGTACATCAGTGCGTGTATTCATCATTCTTGTATTAATCTCTAAACAAAAACATTTATATTAGAAAGCAAAATGACAATGTAATGAGGAGGGAGGGTGGGGATTCTTTTGTTAGCATTTGAAAATGGCTGTAACAATTTTGTTTAATTAACTCTAATTTGCAAAACCAAAATGTATATAAAGTATATAATTTTAACTGATGAATCTTTACTTGGTGACAACTTAGTTGGATTGTTGTTTTGAACAGAGTTACAGAAGTACAGGACCAGGATTTAATTCAATATTTCCTGAGAACATTAGTTTCTTGTGATATTGTTAATTGGCAATACAAAGCCTGCAGCCAGAGTTTTGACTGTATAAAATGTTACACAATGATTGTTTTTATACTGTATAAATTTATGTATATAATAAAATATGTGGTATTTGACTCCTTATCAGATGAGGATAAGTTTCCATGTTGATAGATAACTTCGGAATAATATCACAAGTAGAATCGTGAAAACAAGACAGACAATTCAAGATACTTTTGAAGTCAAAATATGGCAAAGAATAACATGACTTACACGAGGCCAAACTACGCCCGTTCGCAGGTTAGGTGCAAGCACGATGTAAACAATTGATGTAAGCTAATCGCTAATTGGCTTAATTATATAAGCTCGTCGCTGAATGGCTATGGGTAACATTAATAGTAATCTGCCTCGCAAATACAAAAATAAAGATATACACCGGCACTGTATTGATATATGTTTATACCTGCAAGTTTTTTTCATTATAAAAGTGTATTTTCCCAATTTAGATTGGGTGGGTGGGTCATGAAATAAATTTGGTAAGATTGGATGGGCTTTGAAATTTTTATCTACATCCTAAGATGGATCACCAAACTTATTGGCAAAATTTGTGATTTACCTGCAGCCCACCCTAGCAGTTACTTTGTTACCAGTCCCTAAGTATGCGAGGAAATTAAGTCTGGTATTTCAAGAACAAGCACACATCATAGAAGAATGAAGAACATTCGAATGTTGAAAGAAACTAAATGGCAGGTAAATAATTTGATATTTTTACCCACTGGTTTTGAACGTCGAAATATCATAGCCGACAGAACGTCAGAACACAGCACTATACGCTGCAGATTACGAAGTAATTGCGATTTTTCGGTATAAAATAGTCACTTACTACCGTACTAAAACAATTACTTAAGTTTTTGAGTGAGTAGGTAGGTTTTAAGCGGCATAACATGATCATAGTGTGCAGTGTAAATGTAATTGCTGCCGCAGTGAGCGAGCCTGAAGCGAGCGAGCAAGGCAGCAGTTCCTAATTTTGTTTTGTGGGTCGAAATAAAAATTTTCTATTTGGCGCATTGCATGACGGTACCAGTGAAAATTTTGACCGGCGATGTGATCATCTTTCATCTTTGGTCTTCTTTTATTGAAAACCATTGCTGGCTTAAAGTGATCAAACGGCATTTTGTTGGGTGCTTTTCGCATTATACGACGTTGCTTTCGGCATTATACGCGGTGCTTTCTCCATTATACGCGGTTGTTCCAGCACATTACTGTTCCAGTATTAATATACGCGGTTCTTTCGCCATTATACGATGTGCTTTCACCATTTATATGCGCGGTGCTTTTGCAATTATACGCAGTGGTTCTAGCATTACACGCGGTGCTTTTAACATTATACGCAACACTTTCATTCAACATTATTTCCACATTCTTTCTATGACATGTACGAGTGGTAGTAGTAGAACATTATTTATCCACGTTGACCCCGTCGACTGTAGCTGATTTCCACGGGGCGTATATAATTTAACGATTGCTTAAATTTGGTATGTTGTTGACAAATGCTTTTTGCCTCTGGACATGCTTGAAAAAGGTTTATTTATGCACTTTGTGAGTTCTATAGTGTTGATTTATTAGTATAATAAATCTGTGTATATATAAATAAATATAACGCAGCGAATGCGCCACAGCCAAGCAGTATAAACGTGGCTGAAATACGATATTAAAATCTTGAATGTGCCGTATGATTTAATTATGTTTTAGGATTTACAAATGCTTTGTCATTTGTATTTGTATTTATACTAGTACTTGTACTTGTACTGCATCACAAGGCAGTACGTAAGTGAACAAATTCCACATGTGAGGTCATTGTCTTGTATATATTTTTGCCTTCTTTGATAAACATTATTATTAAACACGCAAATTTAGTGAGACGCACAGTCGCACATGTTAAATGTCACCTCCATGTCATTGTCATTGCCCTTTAACCCCTGGTCTAACTGGCCGTTTTTGATGTATAAATTATGGATAATTCCAATTCATTACAAATATTTCTTATTCTTGTTCTTTAAAATACTAAAGATTTGGGAACAATGCTATACCAATTAGGCAGCATTCACTACCCTGTGGGTAAACTAGTTACATTTTATGCCTGGGCTGGCAAATTTGTTTTAATAGACCAACTGGCCAGGGTGCTTTCCGTGTAAACTACGCCGGAGATACGCCAACGTATGCGATAGTTCACGCCAATACAATGGAGATTTTAACTTTGGGGACCAAAATCCATGTTAAAATGGCTAACGTGGCATGTCAGTTTTATATACTGTTAACATCATGTATTTCTTGAAGTTTTATACTCAGTGAATATACATACTGTTTACAATCAATTCAAGCACAAACTTACTGTAGTTACACTTATCACTTCTTTTTGAGTGATCTTACGCCAACACACGAGCAATTTTGTAACCTCACGCCAGATATATCTGGCCTGAAGTGAATGGAATGTGCACTCAAGCCATCTATTTCGGTTTGGAGGCTTCATGCAGGGTGGCTGAGTTGTATAGGATGAAACCAAACAAACTGAAAGCCATGTCATTGATACTATTTGATGTAGTGTACTGTATTTGTTTCAAATGCGAAATAAAATGTGTACAATGTATGCATATTGTGGCCAAAGCCCTGAAAATTGGTTTGAAAATATTCACTATAATTTTTGTATATTGTATTTCAGTTGTACTGAAGACCGTACAAATTCAACACAAAATTGTAAATGCTATGAAGCTTTGCCCATCAGTCATCAAGAGTACAACAGTCAATATGCACCTGTAGTTGTTGTGTTACTGTTAGTTTATATTACATTAAAGATCTTTATCAACTCGTGTTGTTGTTAATACAATCTGCATTTTTAATCTGCATTTTCTACCATTTAAATAATGGAGAAATAGTGTAGATTCAGAGTGTTGTGGGTTTAGCTGGTCAAAATGAAGAAAATAAATCCATTTTGATACATATGTCTCAAATCCCTGATTGGCCCAGGAGCCTTGTTGCATTGTTCTCGTGAATCTTTAGCAGTTAATAGCAAATAGCCTTCTGTCATGTTTCATGAGATTGAATACATCCAGGCCAAGGAAGTATTTGTGATAAAATTACCAAACAGGAAACAGGTGCATTGGTAGCCTAAGGTTTCTGCAGGGGTCTACATCGTAGGCTAGTGCATTGGGAAATGAGACCTAAAGGGGTAATAGTGAAGGGAGTAAGTGTTCAGAAATCACTGAACAAATGTATATTTGCATATATGAACATTTCAGTAGTAAATAGTCGGTAGTCAAGACAATAAGCAAATACGATAGTACACCATTTGTTAATCAAAATGAGAAAACAAGCTACCATGTGTATGAACGAGCGACCAATAAAACGTAGAGATATGCATGTGGACGGATTTGATGGGGAATTGCATGAAACGTGTATTCAATACAAAAATTTGAATATGCATAATCATTCATTATCGCCTAAAGGTTATTCAACGTCAAGAAATAAGCATACAATAGCATGTATATGGGAACCATACAAATCTAGAGATCAGACATCAGAGTCAAGAATGCATTCATTCTAATGAAACGTTGTTTATTAATATTGTTAAGCACCAACAAGCGAACAATAAAATGAATGTATAATCATTACAATGGTCTTAATTGCCAACTGTGTGTTTCTAGTAACAATAGAATTCTTATCAAGTTCATTTAACATAAATATCTTTTCAACTAAACATTACAATACATGTGCGATATCAAGCATTAAATGTCATATCCTTCAACCATGAATGGCCGGCTCCCGTTTACTGTAAGCAGCGTGGAGTGTATATTTGCATGAAGCGGTACATTTGCCCGCAGTTCGCTGCATTTGTTCTACCGATTTTTTGCTATAAGGCGTCTAGGAGAAGATGGGTTCGAAACTCTTCCTAAGGTAGTCGTCGATTTCTTGCGGCGTTTCTATCACCCATCAAACGCTTAATTTCGGTGTCTATGTTCTTGTGCGATTCTATTACGCCTGAACACATGCCATGTACCTACACATTGTGCTGTATGTATACTGTACAGTAATCTACAGATACACACACAAACCATGTTCCATATTTTTTATTTGTGTGAGACTGCTTATGGTTTAAACCAAGTGCGCAAGCCCTTTCATGTCTCTATTTATACGCCGAGGTGTTAGGAATATTCCACCACATTCATGCCAATTATAGGTAGTATTTAGTTGAAAAGATATCGGTGTTAAATGAACTTGATAAGAATTCTATTGTTACTAGAAACACACAGTTGGCAATTAAGATCATTGTAATGATTATAAGTTTATTTTATTGTTCGCCTGCCGGTGCTTAACAATATTAATAAACAACGTCTATTAGAATGAATGCATTCTTGACTCAGATGTCTAATCTCTAGATTTGTATGGTACTCATATACATGCTATTGTATGCTTATTTCTTGACGTTGAACACCTTTAGACGATAATGAATGATTATGCATATTCAAATTCTTGTATTGAATACGCGTTTCATGCAATTCCCCATCAAATCCGTCCACATGCATATCTCTACGTTTTATTGGTCGCTCGTTCATACACATGGTAGCTTGTTTTCTCATTTTGATTAACAAATGGTGTAATTAAATTTTCCAGCTTTAATTTGATCAGTATTAGTATTCACAAGTTTATTTCTCAAAGCATCTCTGAATACAATATCCTTGAATACAAATTGTCAAATAAGCTGCCAATTATTACATTGATTGTGGAGCATCGACTGCACAAACAGTCCACAAGGAAATCCACTGCCATGAGCACTGCAATGTTCTTGGCTGTTAAGTCAGCATTCTGTCTTCCCAACGCTTGCAATTAAAAGATCAGGGTAATCTAATGTGCCTTCATTATTCACAGAAATTGACGACCACCACAAGGGGTCATCCATTTAGTTCAAATGTCTCAAATACAAGGGAGTTAAACTTTTTTCAGTTATCGTCTGCCACACACAAAGTAAAAAAAGTTTCATATAACTCAAATATAAAATTATCCCATCACGATTTAAGTTTTGACAGCCATGACAATGGTCATATTATTAATGGAAAACGTACCTGTTTTATTATACAGCACTCAGCAGTCAATATCGCCGTTAATTGTACCGCCTAACTTGTTCAGTTAGTCAACTGCTTTCTATTTTGTAACAGAATTCCTAACTAAATTATCCAACACTTGAATATGATCTAATCCTTGTCATTTTGGCCTCCATTGACGAGTCTGGCGTTTACATCTTCAGTCCTCGCACAGTGGCACTCATTATTACGACGCAAAACTTCGGTTTTCTCTGTGATTTCGTGGTTAAAAACTTCAAATTTACTTCTTGAAGCATTCATGTTATATATTCCTTTCCAGAAACAAGGTTTGTTTCGGTCCAATAGAAGAAAATAAGCGTTTTAAAGCGAAAACTATACATTCTGTAACAGAAATCTATAGTATTCACTCCTCAAGTAGGCTGTAGGATAAGCATCCAAAAGATGCTTAGAAAACGGATGCCGTTGCACCGCTCGTGTGACTACGTAATTTTTGTCATGAATAAATAAATAAAAACTTACTTTATCAGAATCCGTTGCTCCTCAAGCGAAACAGGTGCACAATTGGGAGAAAAATCCATCCAAAGTTTGATATTTTCGCGCTTCGAAATATTCGAACCGCCATTGTTTTGATAATACGCATGCGCACCTCAGCCAAATAATACGCATGCGCAACTCAGCCAAACTCGCACTGCGCACGCGCACAACCAACGCACATGCTTCGAAGCGGAAACACGCTCAGTTACGCAAATAAATATCCTCATGAATATCCTCATGTTTTATGCAATTTGATGGCGTTACGGAGCAACTTTGCAAAGTTACACGCTAAAGGCTTAAGAAATTTCTTGAGTGTAGGTCAAAATGGGCCAAATTTAAATGTTAACAAGCTGAAATAGCTAAGAAATCGTACGAGAATATCGATGACGGATCTGTCAATTCATGCATGGAGAAGAACCCTGACATCATTAAAAATAGAATGGTAGCATCATATGAAATTCTGAAAGAGATTTTGTGATGAGGAGAACATCCGTAGACAACAGAGAAAAGAAGAAAAAAGAGAAGGAACTAGCTCTAAAACTGTAACTTCTACCGAAGAATCACACGTGGAAGTGGAGCCAATAGAACCAAGGCGAAAAATTACACGTCAATCAGTCGCAGAAGCTATATTAAAATAAGGTCCTGCCTAAAAGAAACGCGCATGAACTCCCAGAGATATGTATTATTTGTGGAAGAGACGCCTCGTGGTTCTCACTAGACAAGGTATGGTCATTTTGATAGGTATAATACGAGAGCAATGTGCACAACATTCTCGGGTTTGGTTTTAAAATATATTGATTTGTGATCAATTAAGTTTATTTAGGGTAAAGCACTAGTTTCTATGTTACAAATATCCAACCTTAGCTTGTTATTAGCAGATATTTAGTTTAATAATTTTGTTTCACACTAGGTAACTAAGAAGAGAAGAAGAACCCCACTCATGTTGGCAGAAACAATTGATGCTGGTCTTCTACGTACAGCTGCTGAGAGAAAGAATGATGAACGGATACTCGTGCAAATCCGGGGAAACGACTGTGTAGCTCTGGAAGTCCGCTATCACAAAGTTTGCTACTGAAATTATACAATATTTCTCACCAGAGAGATGAAGAAGCAATCGGAGACTGAAAAATCTACATCAGTGTACGAAGAAGCAATCGGAGACTGAAAGATCTACATCAGTGTACGAGAAGTTTTATGATGCATTATGTAAGAAAGTAATCGAGTCGGAGGTCATCGGAAATAAGCAAATAAAGTATATGAACGATTTGCTGAAGAAATTTGTTATCATTGCTGCTAAGGACACTGAGAATGTGGACACATATAAATATAGAGCTTTTAAACTCAAGCAATGACTGATGAAAAGTTATCCCCAACTTGTGTTCTGTGTACAGAAAATGAGAAATGTTAGTGAGATTGTATATGTGGAAAATGTGGATTCTTCTGAATTGGTTGAGGAACATATGTCAATTAAGTCTGAAAACAACGATGAGGACTTGGATGAAGAGAGCTGTACCATTGATGATGATGATGATGTGAATTCCAACACAGAAACTGACGGAAGTTCTAAAGTCAATGAGTTACAAATTCTATACAATGCTGCATTGATTCTTCGCCAAAAGGTGCAAGAAATACCAAAACTGAATCTTCCTTGGCCACCATTGGCATCTGATTTGACAATGGCCGTATTTATATTAGAAGACGGCTTTAACGTCTGAGACGACTTAATCGTCTTAGACGTTAAAGTCTAATATAAATACGGGAAATTAGATACACGAATGAAAAATTAAGGTCGTCTGTTAAGTGCGTCCAAACGACGCACTTAACAGACGACTTAGTCGTCTTAGACGTTTACTTCGTCTAGTATAAATACGAGACGACTAAACTTGGACGCACTTAGCAGGGAAACACTACAGAAGGTTCTCAAATTACTACATTTTATATTTTCTTGGTTTCATTCTATACTGGCTTCCAACTGTTCATCTCGTATTTATATTAGTCGCACTTAACACAAGACTTTTAATTCGTCCAGACGTTTAAGACGTCTTCTAATATAAATACGGCCAATGGATAATATTTCAAATCAAACTATGAGGACTAGACTAGATTTCAAGTTCGCACAATTTGATCACGTCCGAGGCGAAGCAGAGGACTGGATCAAAATGCTAGGACTTGAAATCTAGTCCAGTCCGAATTGGAGGATTTGAAATGACATCTCATACGAATAAATCACTACTTGATTACTTAATTTGACATCTCATACAAATAAATCACTACTTAATTAATTTTGATCCAGTTCAAGGACTGAATTAATTTTAATCCAGTCCTAGAGACTACATGATCAATATACTTCATAAGGTATCCAGTATTATCATGTGAGCAAAATAAAGCAATATGGTTGGCTAATGTGCTCATGAATTATTAATGATTTGAGGTGAACAACGATGGTAATGCACGTAGGTATTATTAGTGCAGTAGATCAGTATGTATTTACTATTCGATATTCTCATTCGGATCCACAATATTTATATTATGAACACGTATATCCCTCTCATGGACAGGGTTAACAGTATGGTCATGTTTGAGAAGCTGAAACGCACCCTGGTGGAAGAGCTGAAACGTACAGCAGCAAATCTATTAGAAAAAGTCAACTAGTGTGGACACGAAAAACCAGGTTGAATCGTTCCTTGTTATTCTAGATAGTGGCTAAATACCAACCTATGTCACAATATAAATATAATATATGTAATAGTTCAAATACGAGAAGTGGAACTTTACCAGACAAAAGCCAGGACAGGTTATTGCAGAATACATGCAATCTCGTTTTCAGCATGTATGCCCTTAGCCAGGATCCAGTAACCGCGATTTTATTGCTCTGATGAAAATCTGGGTTCAAAGATGAAAACTTCAATTATATTCTAGATAGTGGCTAAATACCAACTTATGTCACAATATATATAAATATAATATATGTAATAGTTCAAATACGAGAAGTAGAACTTTACCAAACAAAAGCCAGGACAGCTTATTGCAGAATACATCCTATATAAATATCCCTTAAAGCCCGGGACGAACTGGAAACACTGTTGTCATATTATTTGTCTTTCCAATCTTTCGGTATGTCATATTGTATTATAAGCGTCGGCAAATGGATAAAGTGTATTTCATCAAATGCTTCTGAATTTGGTAGGAAATAGTTTGCTTTCTCGGAAGCAAATTTTGCTTCTGCAATAAAAGCCCATTAAAAATCACGAATATTTCCGCGATATTGTTTCTTACGTTTGGCCAAGGCTTTAAGTTTAGCGAAATATTTCATTTGTTCCTTGATCGTGTGAATTGTATGTATATATATTTTTTATTCTCTGTCCTGTTTGATATAGGTGGGTGTTTTACCTCACACAAATTTGTATTGAATTGGGATGTTAATATAAAGTAGAATTAAACGTTAAAACGGTATTTTGAAACAATAGTCAATGAATTGAAGTGATTTAGCATATGAGCAAGCAAAATATACAATGTGTTTTAATAAACAGTATTTAATGCGGGTGTATTTATATTACAAGGTTTGATCAGTATTCCGTGATTTTATTTTGTTGTTTTTGCGGAGGAAGTCGGGGAAACCCCACAGTGAAAATCTATTTTTATAGTCTGCGCGTGCGCAGAACGAGTTTGGCCGAGTTGCACATGCGTATCTGCTACCAAAATAATGGCGGTTCGAGTATTTCGAAGTATTTCGAACTTTGGAGGGATTTTTCTCCCAATTGTGCACCCGTTTCGCTTGGGGAGCAAAGGATTCTGATAAAGTAAGTTTTTATCTATTTATTCATGGGAAAATTACGTAGTTACACTAGAGGTGCAACGGAATTGCATCTTTTGGATGCTCATCCTACGGCCTAAATTGGGGCCATTCAACATGGCGGCCGTCAGCACACTTCCGGCTTCACTTCTGAACACCGGATGCTCTATCCAGTCTTAGTGTATATCAGTGGATATGGGTATATGCCATGTTTTGAACGCATGGGTATATGCCATGTTTCCAAATGTAAAATTGAGAGAAAACGCCAGAACAGGTATTTTATCTATGTCTTGATTTTGAAACACAATTCTACAATTTTTAGCTTTCTTAATTTAGAACTAGTTTTGTGTATAAATACCTGTAACTTTCTGCAATTGTTTCCGCGACTGTTTTAGACCATTCAATAAAAAGTTGCTTCGCAGATTTTCCTTAAAACTCATTGTCGTCCGGGGAAGTTAAAATATCTCGGCAAGTAATTACCCCCCTTAAAACGCAAAGCACCATTGAAATCCTCATAAATAACCTTTCAAACGCAGGGGGTCGTCATAACGTTACACAAACCAAAACAGTCGTATATTTACTCGCCGTTTAGCCAAACATTCTGTATTTCATATCGAGAAAAACTTGAATATCTTCTAAACTCTTCAGAATTCACCCAAGTCACTAGCAGTAAAATACTCCTGGTATTCAAGCGATTTTATGTAGAAAGTTTCGTTTGAATACGACAAGTAGAAATTTTATTTTGAATTTTTCAAAATATCGAGTAACGTTCAAAACTATATGCACCAAGTGTAATACTGCTCAAGCCTCTTAAGTGCTGCTATTAGTAATAGTTTTATTTAGATCGATAGTTTTTTATGTTTGTATGTCTGAATTCGGGCCCGCAGTAATTGGCTCACGCTGTTGCGATCACCCTATCTATATAGTCATGTGTATTTTTCTTGTTATAGTATTATGTATTGTAATATGGCGAAACTAATAAATAAATAAATAAATAAATAAATAAAAAATAAAAAGAATGGTGTATGGTCTTCCCATTTTTGAGCCTGTTATTCCCAGTCCTTGTAACGCAAATCCCACTTTCCCCGTCTAAGAATTGGCAAATCTTAGTCCCCATTTTACACCTCAAGACCCCCTTAATTGCTCCGGAAATTGACAAATAAATTACATGATTTGTTACTATTGTTGTAGTTTACAGAAGAATGAAATAGAACAAATGTAACTAGGCTTTAGTATCAAAGACTTGCTGTCTAGTTATTGCTCTAGTTTACGAAAGCATAGAATAAGCCAAAATTGACTTGTAATCAGTTAAATCACATGCCTAGGTAATACAAACTGGCCCTGCTTGAGCTCACAAAAGCACGCCCTGATAATTAAGCACTAGAATTATTTGCATGAATGAGTACTTCGTGAACACATGCAAATCTGTTGTTAAAGATGATTTCCACTCCTGTGCGCATGAGCGAACTTAGTTTACGTTTTGAACTGCTATATTTGTGAAATATGATATAATAACTGAATATCTAACACTTTTCTGGTTCGCTATGCTTGTAAAAGAATATAAACTCTGCGTTTCAATTCAAAAAAGTTTGACTGAGATGCAAAATTTGAGCAATGTATAATTATATCTGTCCCCGGCCCCTTTGTTGTGAGCAGAATTGATACGCAGAATGGAGTGGAAATCATCTTTAAGTTACCTTTATTCTACCGTGTCTACTTATTTTCTATTTTCGTTAATCCTAGACGCATTTTGAGAACAAGTTTTGCAGGCAAGACGGGCCAGGTCTATTTCAAGAATAATGCGCGTACCCGAAAAGGAAGCGACTATGGTATATTTCAGCTGATCCGGTTTCCCAATTCAACTGGATGGCTACGCATAGGAACATGGAAAAACAGTTCCTTCGATACGACCTTAAAATCATGGATCCAACATGAAATGTCTAGCATAGTGCCTCCGTTGCTTCGCATTGCCACAAAATACAGTAAACCATGGGTATTTTTTACGGATAGTCAAGAAATTGAGAGAAAAAGTTCAAAATGCAATGTTGGGTTGAAATGCATCAATTATACTCGTTATAGAAGCGAGCAAAATAACTCATATGTGTCAAGTTGTTGCTCAGGTGAGTTGTTGACGATGGTGAAAAAGAAAGTGCTGAAGCATATATACAAAGAAGAAAACTGAGAAGGCAGAAAACAATACTTAGCTCAAAGCTGACACGAATAGGATATCTGTTATTCGTAAATTAAGCCAATGGCAGTTAGATTATAGTCCTGACTATTCAACCTTCCGATAAAAAAATAAGGGAGAATTGAATACAGGGTGTCTAAAAAACGCAAAGGAAATTCCACAGGCTTTGTGCATCATAAACGTGGCTAAAGAATTCAATTTTTAGATAGGACGAAAGAACAGTTATTTAGCTTTCCAATGGTACTCTTTTTAAATCGTGACAATGAGAAATGGCCATATACTCGTCAAATAAAAATTGCCGGTCGAAATCACATTCTTCCACCGTTGCCTGTTTTTTTTGGGGTTTTTTTTTTGTTTTTGTATGGAGAACGAAACATAGACATTCCCAAGAGGGAATTAAAATTAAATGCTAAATTATTGCTGACGCAGCTAGCGAGCGAACCTGAAGCGAGCGAGCAAGTCAGCAGTTCTAATTCGTATCGGGCTCTGCATGAAAGTAAGATTTTACTTCCGTTTCTCCGACCAGAATGAACTGCTGTTAACCGACAAGAATGCATTGCTGTTAGCCGACCAGAATGCTTGCATGCATGATGCTATAAATACGGGGGGTTTCGTTAGTCATTTTATATAAGCCGCTAACGATGCAGTTGGTTTGGTGTATTTTGTATTCATTGTATGGTCTGTTGATTTCTGGCTATACATACTGAATTTGCTTACATAGAGAATAATACATGGATGCGGGGAAATACCAGATTTATTTCTCGTGCTGAACATTATTGTGAAGCGACAATTTTTACAGAAAAGCGAAAATTGAAAAGCGATAATTTTCACAAATAATCTCACATGTGAGATTATCATTTTTACTGATCAGTGCTCGAAATCTCTATGAAGCACTTTATGTAATAAAAACAATTTATAACGCTTGGAAAGCGATGACTATAGTATGGCATTATAAGAGAACGATGCTTTGCATGCTATTTTGTTATGTTAGGCATGTCTAAAATGCATTAAAAACAATGTCCTCAACGTACTCTAGTTTTCGAATCAATATGGATTAAATTCGACGTCCTTGGATGCGCATTTTGCTCCATGTTATTCGGTATATTCAGTTCTTAAACGACTTCGCATCAGCATGCAAATCAAAAAAGGCAATTTGGCGAAGAATTATGTTCAAGCGCAGTAAAATATCAGCCTGCCGACGGTATACATGGTGTTCCCAAAAAACTCAAAACTATTGGACTAACGTATTGTTATGCTCTATATATCACTAAATTGAACGCAAAGATGCCTAAAATATTGACAGGTGGCATATATGAAATATTGACTTATTAATTGAAATTAAAAGATCTTTGTAAAGCTCACGATGTTTTGCTTGGGAATTTAAAGCAGCTTCTTATTAAACCGTTCTTTATACATAAAATTTATTTAATAATACTTACGTCGAGCTTTTAATTATGCACTTGTGGATTCAGCAGAGTGCTGAGGCAGTCAAATTATAACAATACGTTATTTCAATCGTTTTAGGTTTTTTTGGGACACCGCCTGTATACAAGATATATTTGAAACATTTATATCTGATAAATAGCACTCGCCTGCTCGTGTCTTAAAGCAGTAATTCTCATTTATCGTAAACATCGGCGATGCCCATTGTCGGTGGTCATTGACGTATGGCCAGAAATCACGGACAAAATGGCGGCTAATTCGATTTCTTATGCGCACAACGAACTTATTTTACGAAACCAAGATGGCGGATATTATACCGTATTCTATTACAGACAATATAAAATCGATGCGCACAATGAAATATAGAATGATTTGCATGTTCCACACGTCTACAAATAGTGTTACCTACCTGAAAATATAGCTCTCGAGGGTTTTGACGTCTCACGATTTGCCATTAGCCGGCCCGAGTAAACTCGATTCAAAACATTTCCACGCAATATAAGCTTATATTAAATTCAGCAAATCCTCCCTACTCGCTCACATTTAGTCCATTATAGCGCTGTCGCAAACGCTTGCCGACAACTTCCACACGTCTACATTTCTTGTACGATGTTCGATCTGCCATTACGTATAAGTTTTAAAACACCAGAGATTTTAGCTAAGCGGCCCCAACACTTTCAAATTGTCTGTTTTGAGGCAAAATAAAACCTGAAATTCCTGCCATTTGCGAGCGGTTTAGGGTAGAAAAAAACTCAAAACGTTGCCAAATACAACGCAGAAAATGCGTTATTGCTTCGCCATTTTATAATCATTTTAAGGGGCAGCCGCTGACTAACAAGTGCGGGGGAAAAAGGCTCCAAAACAAAAGAAATTGCGGGAAATGCAAATATATTCAAATTTGTTTGGTCTTCTAAAGTTTAGAATGTTGTATTATCTTCGTTATAGTTTTAAGAAATTCATTCCTGCAGTCTTTCACTTATATAATCATCTATCCCTGGATCTAATTTATATTTAACTCTTTGTAAATAGACATTGTCGACTGTATTTATAAAGTTTGTTTATAGTAGATTTGAAGTCGCGCGTATGTCACGCGCGCGTGTGGGAACAGTTTATGCGCCCACAATTAAAACCGCTGACTGTCCATATTTCTGGCCATGGTATAAAATGCTTTGAGCTTTTTCTTCTTTGTTGCTCATCGACAACCAGGCTTTAAGCCTGGTTCACACTGGTCGTAAGAATCGGGGATTTCCATTGTCTGTGGTCATTGCTGTGTAAAATGCTTTGTCTGTCGGAAAAGAATACAATAGATCGCCGATGAATTACGACCAATGTGAACCAGGCCTTAATAGTATATACATACCGCGCTCACTGTACAGTTGTGGTCTTGTGACAGTTTGAAGTAATGTCTGTCCATGGTCTTTAATAGTGATACAGTGCATCATTGTTGTCTAATTAAAAGCAATAATCTGTGTGATTTTAAAAGAATTATTGATTGATATTGTGGTCCAGTGAAACGGTTCCAAAAATGGGTACAAGTTTCGATACTATTGTCGTTCTGATGTCACCATAGTTAATAAAGGAGATGGTTTGGAAACTTATTAGCATTACAATAAACCTCACTATCTATGTTTTTGTTCAGGTTTATGCAAAAATGTGGTCTTTCATCTTCACGTGCGTATTGTATTTTTACTCAACCAGCCAATAGCAACGGCTTTGTCGAATTGCCCATCCATGACTTTAACAATAGGACATTTTGAACATTCCTATTGGTTGACTTGGGAAAAATACAATACGCACGTGACGATGAAAGACCACATTTTTGCATAAACCTGAACAACATAGATAATGAGGTTTATTGTGATTTTATTGTAATGCTAACGAGTTTCCAAACCATCTCCTCTATTAACTATGATGTCACAAATATTAGAGTAATTGTAGCATAGTAAGATTAAGAAATAGTTTAGGGTCAGTTTCTCATGTTTCGCGCCCAATAAAGCCTGGGTTAGGGATGGGTTGTGATTAATTAAGGTCAATTAGATGAAAGAAAGATACAGTGCTTGTGAGCGAAACAAGGATTTATTGATACGATGGGTTAGGAGCATACGATTGTATTTAAACTGGGGTTGTTAATATGGAAAGATAAGGCCTTTTTGATATATCATCAAATTAAGGAGTAAGTCACCATTTACTACTGATATGTACACCAGTCTAAAATGAGCTCAACTTGTCAATCTTTGTCTTAGTGAGACAGAACTTCCATTAAACATTGATACCTTCTTTAATAAATCGTAACGATGAGAAATGGCCACCACATACTCGTCAAATAAAAATTGCCGGGAATTGAAAATTATGAATTGAAAATACATTAATTATCCAAAGTTAATCCAAAAGCAACGCGAGTCTGCTGTAAACTATTTGTTTCGTGAACTTTTGATTAGGAATGTTCTCTGTTTTGTGGTTAGTTGAACCAAGAAAAGCTAAATAACTGCTATTTCATCCTATGTAAAAATTGAATTCTTTAGCAAAATTTATGATGCACGACAGCCTGTTGAACTTCCTTTGCGTTTTTTAGACACCCTGTATATACCATGCTCGTCTAAAATGCTCATGGGCGTAACGTCAACTCAAACCACCCCGCTACAATAGCCTGACATACCAAGCAAGCAGAAACCACTTTTTAGTGTATTTGAATGGATGAAATTTCCCAAAAATGAAGATTATGTTTGAAAGTATTAAGTATTAAAATTTTAAACCTCTTTATCTTCGATCCTTTCTTTGGTCAAGGCGAAATACGTCCTTTTATAGCCATTAAGTAAGAGAAACGTTTTGCGAAGAGCACAAATACTTTTTATGCAAATGTCTGAAGAAAAGGTTGTGCGTGAGATAGATAGCAATGCTTGTGTATTACGCAATGTGTGGGAAAGTTGAAAGACCTGATTCAGTCTGCATGTCAGCAACCGAAACAAATCTGCTCCAGTATTGCTTCTACGAAAATGTTCTTCAGTTTGTTGCTTTTGGTAGGAACATATTATCTGGATAGGAATTTGCTATTATTGTTACAGACAATCTTTAATTATATTCCATTTTATTCAATTTTTCAGGCATGCTGGTCGAACTGCTCGATGAACTAACGAAACGAGTTGCTTTTACTCCAAGCCTTCATTTTGTCAAAGATAACAAATTTGGCAGCAAAGACACGGCCACGGGGAGTTGGAATGGGATGATAGGCGAGGTTTTACGTAACGAGGCAGACACAGCACTATACAGCCTGACCATCACAGAAACCCGCTCGAAAGTAGTCGATTTTTCCTATCCATTCTTAGCTTCGGGTAGTGGAATTATCATTTCAACGGAAAAACAAAAGTCTTTACCCCATATAAACAATTCGTTTCTTCGACCGTTTTCAAGAAATCTTTGGACAATAACTCTAAGTATTTTTGCAGCCTGTGTTTTGATATTGTGGACCGCTGAGAGATGGAATCGCAGACGCAGACACTTGTATGGAATTGCCCTTCGCGCCACTCCAGGGGTAGGGGGATTAATGGAGAGTGTATCCTACGCTTGGGGTGTTGTTGTACAAAAGGTGGTTCAAGAGGGAGGGCCGCGGACTTTCGGTGGTCGTGTTGTAACTGGAGTATTTGGGTTCTATATGATTATATTATTGAGCACTTACACGGCTAACATGGCCGCTATTCAAGTTGTTGAAGAAAAACAGGCCGAAATATCTGGAATTTATGATGACAAGGTATGGTGCACTTTGTGATATAAAGAAGCATGAAACGGGAGTGCGACTACAATTAATCGTGACATTGAAAGGTGGGATACTTAAGATTGAAAGGTTATTTTTGTACACAAATTAAAAACAAAGCATGTAAAACTCCCTTCAAAACTATACAAGGTAGCTTCACGAAACATGAGCATTTCGTAAGCATTAAGCCCTCATAGTTTTTTGAAAACTATAGTTTTTACTAATACACTATAGTTCTATGAAAACATTATAAAACGTTTGTAACAAGGGACTCATAGTCATGGTTCCATTATATTGAAAAGCGCCATTCCTTCAGCCGGATAGACACAAGGATTGAGTTACACGTGGCTACTGTTTCACTTTCAAAGTTCGTCCAATTTTATCAATCTTCTAAGCGTTTTGAAAGAAAGCCAGAAAGTAGTAATATAACATTTTGTCGTATTAGTATTTGTAAATTATACCATGAGGCATGATCATATTTAATCCCCGAGCCGACGGCGCGAAGCGCCGTGCGAGGGTACTAATTCCCCCCGGCTATTTACACCCGGGGAAACGAAAGCATTAGCGGAGTCTAAAGTTCATCAAATATCGCGGGCGTGGGTGACCAACGATGGGTGGTCATCCTCACTGATCTCAAAAATATGGCGGACTGTCATGAATAGCGGACATTGATTGGTCCAATTTAAATTTTGCATTATAACGACTGGCACGAATGTATCACGACAGCGAAATAGCAAACATTTCTTGATTTGATGATTGATAAATTTCTTGCAAATATATTTCATTTTTACTCGCATTTTTGCAAGATTTTGTAAATTTCAAAAGCTCTCTCAAAATGAAACTGCGAAAGAATCGTCTAAAAGAAGGGAGCCGACGTTAACGAAGGTAAGTTTGTTTTAAATATTGATTTTATAATGGCTTTAAAACCCGACGGCCTTTGCGTATATGAAACAACTAAACAAACAGCATATAATTTTAGTGTATCTTTAATATTGATTCCCTTTTTTATGATATTGAATTTCTAAATAAAAAAGAAAGCACTGAGTTATTTGCAAGCCAGAATTTGAAATCATTTTATTGCTAACTCAAAGTTTATCGATAAAGCCATTTTAAAAGGCAGTTTAGTTTTATAATGAACACTAGTGACTTTAAAACGTTTTGCGAAGCGTTTGTGGTTGAATTTTACCTTAAATTGAGGCTTATATTACGTATAAAAACATGCCTAACATATATTTATGTTGGGAAATTAATAATTTTGTAATTAAAAGTGATATTTTTAGGCGATTTTTCATTTGTAAGAATATTCTTAAAAAATTATCGTGTTACCATGACAACTACTTTAGAACTTCATGTTCGGAAAATACAATGGTTTTGTCAGCAAGGCGAGGGTTTCTGCATGCATGTATTTTCTAGTAATAGCTAGTTAATTAACTGACGTTTTCATTGTTGTTGAATACTCTAGCTAACATTAATTAACTACTGTAGAAATAGTTTACATTAAAACTGCCCCCGGCTGATTATGGTGAACTAACTAGCTGTTATTAAATATGATCATGCCTCAATGTATAATTTACAAATACTAATACTAATACGACAAAATGTTATATTACTACTTTCTGGCTTTCTTTCAAAACGCTTAGAAGATTGATAAAATTGGACGAACTTTGAAAGTGAAACAGTAACCACGTGTAACTCGATCCTTGTGTCTATCCGACTGAAAGAATGGCGCTTTTTAATATAATGGAACAATGACTATGAGTCCCTTGTTACAAACGTTCTATAATGTGACCGTTGTGTGTTAAGCTTTGCTCGATTTTTTATATTTCTATTTGTTTTTGACTGTCTGATGTGTGAGCCAAGAAAATCCTACAGTTGATTTGATGGAATCTTGATAGACGGAGTTTTTAATCTTGTAAAGTTTTTCGTTATTTGACTGATTGACTCCTTTACCAACAACAAATGATAGCAACAACGTACCTCACAAGTCTATTAGTTAACAGACACGTAAAACAGACCACCGAAATAAAATGCCGTTTGACAAGGTGTTGACCCAAGCGAATAATAATTCTTACAGAAAGCAACGCAACCTTTGAACCCTCACATTTTAATTAAACGTGCGCAGCTACGGCACTACGCCAATAATTCACTTGCCTTTTATAATAAAATTTAAAGCCTCACCTTTTAAACTTGTGGCCTTTTACTGTAATATATAAGCTAATTGTTTCTAATCTTGATAGCCATAACAATTTATGCTTGATCTTAAACAATTTATATCATATTACATGCGGCGATTTCAATACCCCCAATGTTTTGCGATATTACCCAGTGTGCCCGCAAAGCATTGGTGGGTGCGTGGACTTCAATATATGCCTCCTGCGGGGTCAATTATATTGCAGCATTGAAATTACATGTTTGTTAACCGATATCAAACATCGACTGCAGAATGCGATGATTCGCACGCGCAAGTATATGAGGATGGCTAATGGCGTGGGTAGTGGCTAGTGCTTCGTGGGTATGGTGTTGGGCGTCGTAATGTACAGACAATGAAAATATTGTTTAAAAGCTAAAGTAAAAGGGAGATAATCCTACGCTTTTGCTTAAATGTTCCAAACTAATTTGTTCGCAAGTACAAAAGTCCATAATGAAATTAACAAGCTTGTAAACAAAGCATCTGGCATCCGTTATGGACTGGTCATAATTTAGCAGGGGGTGGGGAGGTGGAGACAGTGGGGGGGGGGGGGGAGG